TGGTAACGCATTTGGGGAGATTCTAAAACTTTCTGAAAATACAATATGAGAATTTACTACACAATTACTAGAAATGTGTACCTTGGATATTATACAGTTTGCATACATACAAAAGACACATTTTTTTCAAGACGTTTCCGACTCTGACGTTGGACCAGTTCTGTCGAATGGCCCTTATATTGTTACAAATATTTCTATTTCAAATAAATACTGTTTGTTTGAACTTTGTATTAATCAAAGAATCCTGAAAAAAAAATCACACTTTCCACCTTTATAAAAAAAATATTAAGCACTTTTTCCATTCATATTAATTACAAAAATATATATAAAAAGACTGAAGAAATGACTGCTGCAAATCCAGCTTTGTCATCACAGGAATAAATTACATTTCAAAACACAAAAATATTAAAATAGAAATTGATAATTATCCATTGAAAGGGCTTTTGACCTTTAGTAGCTGTTACTTATGTGGTGTATAATAATTTCCAGGTTCATGTGAGTACATCAGTGCTTAATTGTTGTCTGTGGTGTTATGTAATAAGTCCAGTACAGCAGCACATCTGTTCAGGGAAGGTCATCCTGTTGTGTCTTCTGTCCTTTATATGAATCATTATGCAATATACAGCTAAAAATATTGGCTGTGCGGTTAAATATCTTCATTCTTTCCGTCTGTCTGCAGTGTGGTGTTGCAGATGGCGAGGGCTTTTTGAGCCTCTGGCAAGTCAATCAGACCTCCTCAAACCCCAAACCGTATTTGGTAAGAGCTTGATCTTGGTACTGCACAAGCTTTACATTACTGACAGTCACAAACTGCCCTCATAGTGTGATTGAATTAAAGCATGTGTACTCTGCAAACATATATTACTAGAACTTTTATTGAAACTAACTTCACTATTAAATATATGTCACCATATAATAGCATCTCTGTGTGTCTGTCTCAGAGCTGGCAGTGTCACAGTAAAAGCTGCGGTGATTTCGCCTTCATTACATCCTCCAGTCTGATCGCCACAGCAGGACAGTCCAATGATGGCAGGTCAGTTAAATGATTTATCTTACTGTCACATAGAAACAGACTATATACAACATTTTTAAGGAAATGTGTCATTTTCTTCCACAGGAATGTTTGTTTATGGGACACTCTGGTCTCTCCAAGTAACTCAATGATACACGGTATGTCCACAGGCTCTTGAGGGAAGATGTTTTTAAAAATATGTTGAATAAGTGATTTTATTTAATTTTCAATATTGTTTAAAAAATGTTGTAAAAAGGTTGCATTCTGGTATTTCTCTATATCCAGCGTTCCAATGCCACGAGAATGGTGCAACGGTTCTTCAGTATGCTCCTAAACAGCAGCTAATCATCACGGGCGGCCGGAAGGGCTTCGTCTGTATTTTTGACATCCGTCAGAGACAGCTGCTCCACACATTCCAGGCACATGATTCGGCCATCAAAGCGCTGGCCATGGATTCCACTGAAGACTTCTTTGTCACCGGCTCAGCCGAAGGGAACATGAAGGTATATTCCACTAACGTGACACAATTCATCTTAAACATGTCCTGTCGCTGTTATGTGGATATTGAGGCTTTTTATTTATTTTTTTAATATTGATTTAGTATTGATAACTCCAAAATATAAATAATTAGACTGAATTTAAATTATTGCCAAACGACAGAATTTAATTTTTTTTAGATCTCCTCCTCAGCAGCTGCCATCTTCACTAGCATGTATGAAAACTACAAAATCAAGCAATTGTCTACCTTTTATCTTCAACATTTTGTGATGTTTTGTCCATGGTTCATTATCAAAAGATTCTCTAAATTTGTCCCTAATTATTTGTTAAATGTGCAAATTAAATAATAATGCAATCTTACATTTTTAGGATAAGAAAAATTTATTAATATTAGCTTTTAAATTGTTGTTGTTGATGTCCAAGGCTGTGTCCAGTTAGAATGTCACTTGATAAAAAGACTGGGCAGATGTGTAAAAAAAAAATGGTAGCCAACTTGAATAAAAATGCGAAATTACAACAAAAAGAATGTTACATTAACAGCATATTGAATGTTCTTGTCAGTCTGAACAGATATATTAACCAGATGTTTATTCAAATTAAAATGTTTACAAAATAGAATTTTTGCACTGAACATTTATCTTGGTGTAAACAAGCCTTTAGGCTGCTAACAGTCTCTGATTATGCATTTCCAAAATGAATGTAAAGAATTTAGCATGTTGTTTTTAATTTAAGTAGTATTCATGCTTATACAAAAAATATCAGTGTTACTTTTTAAGGGTGTTCCTTTTTACTTATGTACGTATTCTTTTTACGTATGTGATGAACAATTTTGATAATGTTTTGAACTGCCTCTTTCTCCAGCATTTAGAGAGCTTGGTGGTCCGTGGTAGATGTAATGGTAGTGTACGTAATACACTTTAGTGATAGCAATTGAGAAAGGTTTCATAATATTGAAAAATATACATTTTTTTAAATGTACACGATATTTTACTGTATTCACAAAAATAATGCAAGTCTGCTAGTTTTTGCAGCTGACACAAAGCTTGTAACAGCTTATACGATAATCTCAAATAGGTAAAGATTAGTCAGTCAATCAACCTGGCTAATGTTTCTATCTATAACTAATATTTAATGATGCACTTAAATTCCGACAGTCTAAATTAATTATTGGCTTAAGCCATAACAGTGGTGATATTTAATTAGCGTTTCTCTGATGGCATGTTTTTTACTGTGCCAGTGTTTATTCAGAATGCATATATCATTCGAAAAACAATACAGCAATTGTAATGAAAATTTTTCTGTACATTTCAGTTTTTTATTTGAATGTTGCTTGTTAAATACATTTCTGCGCATCATTTCTAATAATCGTATTCCTGTTCTGGTTCAGGTCTGGAAGTTGGCGGGTCACGGTCTCATGCACTCCTTCAGCACCGAGCATGCTAAACAATCCATATTCCGAAACATCGGCGCCGGCGTGATGCAAATCGAAACCTGCCCAGGCAACCGGATCTTCACCTGCGGAGCCGACGGGACCCTGAAAATGAGGGTCCTTCCAGACCGCTACAACATTCCGGCCAGTATATTCCAGATCCTCTAACACCGGAGCGGCCGTAGAACGCTAAAGCTTTCATCGGCACCTCCGCTGTGAATCGTAAACCGGTAACAAATATCTCGCGCTGCAGAATATCTTTACCGCCCCGCCCCACAAAAGACGTTGGAAAGCACGCACGAGGTCTCTCGATTCTAACGATCGACTACTGTCATTTCTGGAGATGAATCCAGATAACGTTTTTTTGGTAGGAAAGCCGTATGCATGAGCTGTTTGAGTCATCGCACTCCATTCCCAGGTTATTGGTCGTGCTCTGTAAAAGTGCTCAAAGCTCCATTTTTAAGTGTGTATGTGTGTGTGTTCATTTTGTGCCCATTTTAGCATCTTAAAATGCCAGCACTGTGCTTCTGCTATCAGTGTAAGTCCAGTTGTTGTATTTAGTTTTTACTGTACGTTTTCTCCTTGGCTGCTAATGTATTTGCGGAGTGTAAAATGGCACAGTACCCTGGCAGCCCGGCGGTTCGCCGCGGCCCCAGAGACACACCCCCTCCCTTCCACACGCACACGCTGCTGTTGACACGCTTGTTTCCATAGCAGCCAAACAGCTAAACATTCCACGCAAGACGATGATGCTTGCTTCTGGAAATGACGTGTTTGACCTTTTCATCTCTGAAATTCTCACTTTGAACAGAAAACGTTTAGTTTTTGCACAAAATATTTCTTCGTTTGTTTTGCTCGTTTACTCGTTTTTGTTTCGTTTGTTCTTTTACAAATCCTTGTATTTATATTTAACTTTAGGAATGTAAGGTATGTTTTAGATGTCTGGGACAAAGTGCAACACTGAATAGGTTTGTGTTTTATTTATTTACATATTTATTTTTTCATGTTTTATCTTTTCTAAATATTTGCACTCAGATCTGGGGAAACAATAACACTCTTACGTTACAAGTGATAATAGCTCTATTAGAGGAAACTGTTATTTACTAATGAATGTCTGGCTGTGTGTGGCCGAGTAGTAAAAAGTGGAAATAGTTTGAAATGAATATATAAATATAAAAATGAATTACGACAATAGCTTGTACAAACACAATAATGCTTTTAGTTTATTTTTTTGATTTGATCATAACTGCTGGAATAGTCGTATATTTGTTTTGATGTATGTGGTATTTATTAAAATCATATTTGTGTTTCTGTCTGATTTGCTGGGCACCATGTCAACTGTACGTATTTTAAATGTTAAACCGATGGTCTGATGTGTATTTATTGAACAGCCTGATCTGTGTCTGCGTGTGTGAAAATGCAAACCCCAAAAACACTGGTTGGTATTTCCGAAGGAACAGGTAGTTCTGTCATGGTCAAAGTTTTACCTTTGTAAGTTGAATAAATTCTTTTGATTTGAATTACAGTAAGTCATTTCATTTTACTGTTTCAACTCCACGTGTCTTTAGATTAACATGTTTCAGGGTTTATTTCAGGATTTCCAAGCATTTGTGGCTACATAAACATGCATGCAATATAAATTAAACAATATATTTGGCAAATATATTTTGTGTCGTATACATACTAGCAGTCAAATACATTTCTATAAACATGGTCAACATTAAATCTAAATTCACCTTTACTTAATGCACATAACTAATCTTGCCATGTAGGGTTTATGAGTGACGTTACCTGGAAAAGTCTTACTGAAGTGATGCTGTGAAATTAAATGGTGTATGAAATTACTATGTATGTAATGCACATACATATTCCATTTATTTATTTACACACATTTGGCCTCATTCATGAAACAAGAAGAGAATGAATTTCTGTGTAAACTTAGTAAAACCATTTCTATGTAGACGATAACTTAATAAATATTCACTTAAAATGCATGTTAGCCAAAAAAAGAAAAATGCAACTTCTAAAAGTAAAAATGCCAAAAAAAAATAAATATGGTAGCCCCAAATTGCATTTAGACACTTAAGTCAGATTTTAAAATGCTTTAATGTCATACATTAGGGAAAAAAAATAAACCCAAGTGCATTTATTTTTAAGTAAGCGCAAATTAAATTTTCAACCTAAACATTTTACAAAGATGTTTGTTAGGCTTTAAATGATAAACTGAAATCCTGCACTAAACTCAAACGTGTCTCTGCAAAATTTGAATAGCATTGTTCATGTCAATTTACCCTTTTCAGGCTTGAAACCTTACTAGTAAAATTTTGTAATTGCACAAGTTTGAGTAGTGTGCAGGATTTATACAGTTTTTTTTTTCAAGTTTATATTGGACAAGTCATTCTGACTTTAAATTATTAAAGAATTGATAATCGATTGAATAGCCATAATTGAAAATAGTGTCTTGTCTTCAAGTTCACACATTTTAAATGATTAAAATGTGTAAACTTGAGAACTGATTTAATAAAAAAATCACCAGTTGATTAAAAGCCCTGTTTGATGTTCGATGACACTTGGTTTTATGTTTTGATATCTAACACATTGAAATTTAAGGGTAGCTAAAGTGTCCAAATACTTAGTGCGAACACCACTAGATAGACAATTTAGCGCTTGATATATCATCCACTCAAGAAAATTAAAAATATATATATGGGTACTACACATGGGTAACAACAGAAACATTGGTTATTTGCTTATAAATATGCCAATTATGTCATGCATTTTTGATTATTCATCTGAGAGGAACTGGACTTGGTATGATTTGACATAGCTGCTGTCCCATATGTAGAGATGTTTGTCTCTGGGATTGTATGAGATCATGGACAGAACCCCTCCAGGTGCCCTCAGATCTAAACTGACACTAACCGGCTTCTCTTTCAGGAGGTCGAAGGCATATGTCACCTTTGTGTCTTTAGTATCCGTGATGTAGAGAATCCCGCAGGCGATGAACGCATTACCGGCCTTGGTCCTGGGATAGGTGGCGTTGATGTATGTGGTGACGGAGAAAGATTTCGCATCCAGTCGCGCCACCATTATGTTGTCGTCAATGTTGGAGGCAAATACTATCCACATACCGTTCTCATCTATTGCCAATTTGAAATACGTCTTTGAGTTCTCAAGGAGGTAGGACTTATTGTGATAGAACGCGTTTTCAATTGTCAGCGTGAGTAAGATCTTCGTCTGGAGGTCAAACCTGGGAATATTGGAGAATTGACAGCACGTGTTACAAGAACATTAAGTATTCTTAAATTAAAAGGCTTTCTGCTGTTGTTTCAAAGCGGTGACATTCATTCTTCCATGGAACACAAAAGGTGAGGTTTAGCAGAATGTGTTCATTTTTAATGGGGACTGTGGCATCTTGACATACCATGTTTGAATTAAATTGTGAATGATATTTGAGAACTATGGCAGCCGTTGAGTGTCAAAGATTCAGCCAAAAGTTAATTGGTTGCTCACACGTGAATTGTTCAACTACATTTTAGGCTGAACTATCACTAAGAAAAGTAATAGGACATTTTTATTATATATATATATATATATATATATAATTTTTTTTTTATTATTATTTTAAATGTGTAATGAGTAAGACAATAAGAATAGTGATTAAAACTTGTGTAGTATTTTATTTTACTTTTTATTTTTAACTTTTTACATTATTTTATATTACGTACATTTTGTAGGATGAATATCTGAAAAGTATTAGACCAATGTTTTTTTTTATAAATTAGTAGTTTGAGTCACTTAAAATGTGTGTGTGTATATATATATATATATATATATA